GGGAGGGATGGAGGGGGCGGGAGGGACAGAGGGACAGAGAGGTGGATGGGCTGAGGGACAGACGGACGGGTAGGTGGGTGGAGATAAGTCTATGGAGAGGGTGGGATGAAGGGATGAAGATAAGGCCAAGGGAGAGGGTGGGTTGAAGGGTCAGGTGGGTGGATGGACGGATGGATGGATGAAGATAAGTCTACGTAGATGGTTGAATGGAGGGTTGGATGGATGGGTGGGTGGATGGATGGATGATAGGATTGATGGATGGATGAAGATAAGTCTATGTAGATGGTTGATTGAAGGGAGGGAGGGATGGGTGGATGGATGGATGGATGGATGGAAGGATGAAGATAAGTCTACTTAGATGGTTGAATGGAGGGTTGGATGGATGGGTGGGTGGATGGATGGATGGATGAAGATAAACCTACATAGATGGTTGATTGAACAGAGGGATGGATGGATGGAGGGAAAGCCCAGGTAGATGGTTGATAGAAGGGTTGGGCGGGTCGATGGATGGATGGGTGAATGGATGGGTGGAGATAAGCCCAGGTAGATGGTTGATAGAAGGGTTGGGTGGGTCGATGGATGGATGGGTGAATGGATGGGTGGAGATAAGCCCAGGTAGATGGTTGATAGAAGGGTTGGGCGGGTCGATGGATGGATGGGTGAATGGATGGGTGGAGATAAGCCCAGGTAGATGGTTGATAGAAGGGTTGGGTGGGTCGATGGATGGATGGGTGAATGGATGGGTGGAGATAAGCCCAGGTAGATGGTTGATAGAAGGGTTGGGCGGGTCGATGGATGGATGGGTGAATGGATGGGTGGAGATAAGCCCAGGTAGATGGTTGATAGAAGGGTTGGGTGGGTCGATGGATGGATGGGTGAATGGATGGGTGGAGATAAGCCCAGGTAGATGGTTGATAGAAGGGTTGGGCGGGTCGATGGATGGATGGGTGAATGGATGGGTGGAGATAAGCCCAGGTAGATGGTTGATAGAAGGGTTGGGTGGGTCGATGGATGGATGGGTGAATGGATGGGTGGAGATAAGCCCAGGTAGATGGTTGATAGAAGGGTTGGGTGGATGGATGGGTGGGTGGGTGGATGGATGGATGAATGGATGGATGGATGGATGGGTGGATGGATGGATGGGTGGAGATAAGCCCAGGTAGATGGTTGATAGAAGGGTTGGGTGGATGGATGGATGGATGGATGGGTGGATGGGTGGACGGATGAACTGATGGAGCGATGGAGGGAGGAACGGATGGACGAAGGGATGGACAGAGATGGGGCTGGACAGACCCACACTAGACCTCCTGGCTGGTCGGACAGCTCAGGTACGTTTGTGGGGCCGGTTGGTCCTACAGGAGGTGTCTGGAGAGGTGGACAGAGGTGGGGTGAGGACCTCCGGAGTGTCTTCTCACCCCCGTTGCAGATGGATCCCGACTCAAACCAGCAGCCGGCGTCGGTGCCGGGGCTGGAGCTGTGGGGCCAGTGGACGCTGTAGCCCCGGTAGCTCAATCCCCGCGTCCCCGGTTCCAGTCCGTATACTGGCCACAACTGGTCGCCTTTGCCATCCGTGTCCAACACCACGTAGGGGACGCTGACGTCCCCCTCCTCGGTGACGGAGAAGGACTGGCAGAAACCCTCCAGTTGGAAGTCGCGGGCGTGTTCGGCCACGCTGGTGCCCATCACCCAACGGCCCGTTCGTCTGGTGGCCTCCACCGCTTTGGCCAAGAAGTGGATGGAGTTGTAGATGGTGGCGAAGAGGGGGTGGACCTGTGGGGTGAGAGGAGGCGTTGGGGGGAGAGGGGGGGTGGGGGTCTGGAGGGACCACCGTCACTCCGGGGGACCACGGTGACACCCAGAGGACAAGGA